TATGTGTAAGTTTTTCCTTTTTCCTTTAAACAGCAAAGGAGCCAGGCTGGAGTCCCCCAGGAGACTGTATAGAAACCTCCCTCCAGGTGCCCTGGACCCTAGCTCACTGTTCCTTAGGAAGTGGTCCAAGGACCATGGGACAGAATCACCTCGAGTGCCTGTGAAAGGTACAGGGCACCAACCCTGAGTCCATGTGTCAGTGTGGGCTGGCAATGGGCCTTTCCCAGGACACGGGAGATGCAAGGAGGCAGAAATGGTGCCCGTCTTTCTCACCACTGGCTCCCTCTTGCCTGGCACAAGTCACATGCAGAACATGCCAAGGGCACCCTGCACTCTGCACTCCTGTGTCGAGTTCTCCTTCAGCGGCAGGTAACTATTACTTATTAGAGCTGACCCTCCAAAGTCATTTTTACTGATCTACAGTTGTCGTGTTGAGCCCCGCCACCTGTCTCGCCCAGCCCTGGGCCCCACCTGTGTGCTCAGCGCTCGTCACCCCTGCAACACTGCGGGCAGGACCGGATGGTGAATGCGCCCTAACCGGGAAGCTGCAGTGACGAGGTGCGCCTCCTGGGATGGGAACCCAGCGTCCTCACTCCCAGGCCCACGGTGTCCCGTCTGCCTCCCCCTGCAGGAGTCACTCCTGCTATGGCTTTTTGCATGCAGCGGACACTAAGCAACAAGGGCCTCTACCCCTTGAGGGTGACCACTGCCAGGAGGTCTCAGGATAGACCTGAGGCTTTTGGAAAAACCTCTTCAGGTACAAAAACAAGAAAAATGCAACCAGTCACAGCAGGGCAGCGTGGGTGTGGACACGCCAGGCAGCACGGGCTCTTGCCTGCAGTTAGAAATGCCCGCTTCTTCATCCGCAGCAAGGAAGCCCCGTGGATGGCGGTAAGAGCTATTGATCTTGCGAGAAGATGGAATTTATCTGGGCTGGAGTCAGGCTTTCTCTGACCTCACAGGCTCCAGGCAGCAGCTGGGAGGGGACAGGGACTCAGAGAGCAGAAATGCCCTCAGCTTGGGAATGCCACCCGATAAACTGCTCAGAGAGCAACCTGTGGGGCTGCCAGGCATGGCCTTGCCAGGCTGGACAGGCTCACAGCTGGGCAGGGGAAGGGGCACACTACAGAGGCCCCCATCACCACTCCAGGCACCCGATTCCTGTTGCCTGGCAAGGAAAGGGACAGTGCTCACCCTAGGGACAGGCTCTCAGATCGAGGTACTCAGAGCCCAGTCAGGAGAACGTGGCCAGAAAGCTGATGAATCAACCACTTGGGGTTTGTTGGGGGCTGGTGGAGCGTCAGGCCCAGCGCAAGAGGACACTCACCAACAGACGAGCCCGGCCACCACGGCTGACCAGGTGACACAGCAGGACTTGTGCCCCTTGGTCCGTCTGCAGCAGCATGCACAGATCAGGTAAGCCGTGAGGAAGATGAGGTTCAGGACCAGGCAGCCGGCAGCCACCAGCCCCAGGAACAGCAGCGACTGCAGAGGGAGAGGCATGGTGTCAGCAGCACTGGCCCCGTGGGGGGCGTGGGGGGAGTGGCTGGGAAGTGCTCTCTGCTCCGGCCTGGAGCTCCCACAGGGTAATGGGTGTAGGAACCAGGGCCCAGCCATTCGTGCTCCAGCCCTGGGGCTGGGCTGGGTCGGGAGGGCCCGAGAACCGGTGAATGGGCTGCGGTCAGCTGAGCAGGTGAGGGGCAGCCCCCAGATGTGTGGCTGACACACCTGGATGAGACTCAGACGAGGCCCTGTCTGATGAGATGCTCAGAGCCGCACAAGGCAGGAGGGCCAGTCTGGCGTATCTGCTTCCTCTGAGCCTAGTCCTAGGTGTCGGGGTCCATCAGAGAAAACAGACAGCATGTGCCAGGGGAGGGGAAATGTCAGGACATGCACCTATGGAGTCCCTCTCACCACATCCTGAACGGGACAGCGACCCCAACCTGCCAATGGCAGCAGCAAAGCCCAGGATTCTGAAGTGGGTAGGAGGTGCTGTCTCAGGCCCAGCGAGGGCCTCAGGGTCCTGCAAAGGGAGCTGCTCTCTGTCAGGCCTGTGCCCTGCTCCATGCCCTCCAATCTCTTGTTGCAGCTAGATGGGCACCAGATGCCACCAGGATTGGTGGCCGCCAGCCAGGGCTGGACCTGGCTGTAAGTCAGGCTCCTGGGGTGATAGCCTCACCCAGCTTCCCACGTGCCCTGAGTGGACCCTGGTCCAGGATTCCCAGTGCTCCAGTCTGGGATGTCAGGGCAGGAAGCTGTTTTGGGGACCCCCATGCTGGTGGCAGCCATCAGCAGAGTGGGTGAGATGTCAGGCCCTTTGGGTCTAAGGGGGGGAGAAGCCCTGTGCAGGAGGCAACCAGGAGAAAAACACCAGGGGACAATTCTGAAAATCAGAGGCTGGGGCTGCAGTCCTGGGGCTGTTTTCAGGGGCGAGGGCACCTGCTGGGTCCACCCTGCCCTTCCAGGGCCTGCTCAGCGTGGGCCTCTGACCTCCTGGGAACCTGTCCGGCGCATGGCTGCAGGGCCTCCCCGAGCCGGGCAGCTGGTCCCAATTAGGTCGCGGAAATGCAATCTAGCGGGGAGGTCTTGCTGGGAAGCCCAAACCTGCCCAAACACGGAGGGCGTCGTTAGCAGTTTACCTCGGGAACTCGCCCAGGTCCTGGGAGGACAAGGGTGGGACAGGGCAGAGGAGGTGGGAAGGGAAGACGAAAGGAGGAAGGTGGGGGAAGAGGAGGAGGGAAGTGGAGGGTTAACCAGCAGCACCCTTGGGTCCCTGCCGCCCTCTAATAGGCAATTATCTTCCTGCCTCTGAGGAGCACTGTGAGTCCCACGTGCATGGGAGGGGGGAACGGGAGATGG